CAAGGGCATGGCTGAGTAGAAATGTAATGCAGAGTCACAAATAGTTACTATCTAGCCCTTTATAGAAACAGTTAGCCAGCTCCTGCTATAGAGATCCTTTGTTTCCCCCCTTTACAGATGGGAAGACCCAGGCACAGTTAAGGTCACACAGCTAGCGCATGGCAGAGCTGGGATTTGAGTCCAATCAGCTAGAGTTGAGGATCTAGGCATATAACCTCGGCACGGGCACTGCTTCCGGGTCCACCTAGGGCCTGTGGGAATCTGTGGGAACTTGTACTCTGAGGGCGATGGGAGCCCTGTCAGTGTTTGGAGCAGAAGAGGCGTGTGAGTCGACTTCATTGCTCAGAGGGTCCCTCTGGCTGATGGTTGAGTACACTGAATGAGGGTGAGGGGAGCTGCAGGGAGACCATTTGTCCAAGTAAGGAATGCTAGGGGCTTGAGCTAGGGTAGCTCCCTGTTGGCCGCCCTCTTTCTTCCCATCTGCTCTGGTCTTTCCCATGAACTCTCCCCTGCTTCCTCCTTCTCAGCCCCTCCTGTTTCTCCTCTTCGTCCCAGGTTTTGGTGCCCCCTACCCCCCTATGCTCTCTTGCCCTTCCAAGGGCTGGGCCCTGACCTGCTCCTGGCCCAGGGATGGGCCTAGGTGGGGTCACTGTGTAAGGACATGCTGCCACTTTCACCAGCCTCCTGTGTGCAAACTCGCAGGCACGTGGTGACACGGACTGTTGTCCCTGCAGCCCCATGAAAACGCGGCACAGCTACACACAGCTATACACATGTTCACACTCATGACAGAAGTTCAAATATGGACCACGTTGCACAGTCTCGCAGACACGTTCACCTTTCAGAGCCACAGTGGCTACACAGAAACTTGCGACACTAGTCACAGTCCACACATACCGCCACATTACCTATGCACAGCCTGGCCTCAGAGCTTCTACTGGACGTGGCAGAACACAGTCACACGAACATGGCCACTGCAAACCAGGTACAGATTTCAAGAGGGTGCCCCACACAGACACACACCTCCCAGGCTCAGAGCCCCATCAGGAAGTAACACAGAGACTCCTGCTGGGACCCACCAACAGTCACACGAACAGCCTCCGTGAGGACATGCTCACAAACAGGCACAGAGCACACACACACAACCGGACGCGTCCCAGTTCCACCCAGACACACGCCACACGTGGAGACGCACGTCACGATCGCGCAGACTGTGGGCCGGTCGTGCCCACTCAGTCTGACATCTCGTGGCCCCACACGCTGAGGCCTGGGGAGTCCCACGGGGCCCCACAGACAGCAGCTGGCCCTGTCATACCCAGACACGCTGTCACACCCCGGGTCCCAGACGGAGCCATCCCACACACCCAGACACACCCCCAGGGTCGGGGCCCTCACATGCCCAGCCCGTGCCTCGGCCTGGGGACAAGTCCTGGCCGCACACCCCGCGGTCGCCCTTGCCACGCCCTCGTGACACACCCCGCCCACCTGCCCGCCTGGCTGAGTTGGCGCAGAGGCCGCCCAGGAAGGGAAACTTGCGGGCTCAGCACCTTCCTGGACTGCCTGCAGGCGGCCCCTGCCCTGCTACCCAGCACCCCCAGCCCCGCAGGGTGGGGCCAGTCCGGGGGGGGGGGGCGGTGGGGAGGGGAGTCTTGGCCCTAGCCCAGCAACCAGCGCTGAGGCAGGACCCTGGGGTTCAGGGAGACCCGCTCCCCTCCTCCACTCCTGCGGGCTGCCCCGGGAGGGGAGGGAAGTCGTGGGGGGAGCCTGGGTTCCGGCTGGAGCCCCAGCTTCCCGTCCAGCCCCCACGGGGCAGGAAGCAGGGCTGGGGAGGCCAGCTCAGGCCTTCCTGCCGCCTCCCCCCAGAGAGGCCTGGGAGCTGGGTCAGCTGGAAGGAGTGGGGAGAGCAAGGGTGGGGGAGGGGGGGATGAGAGAGAAAGCTCCTTCTGCCCTCAACCTCATGATAGGTGTCTTTTGTGTTTATGTAAAGTTGAACAGGTTCAGGACACGCGCGTGTGTGTGTGTGTGTGTGCGCGCGTGTGTGCACGCACACACGCACGCATGCAGGCTTTATGCAGTGAATTTTATGTGTCCAGCATTAGGGGTTTCTAACACACCAGCGGGTGCCCGCCGGCTATGCTGAGTATGGACAGGTTCTGTCCAAGTGTGTGCCCCTGGCACGTGTCCCCACGGTGTATCTGACCAGAAGCTGGTGTGCTCTCTGGGCTCTGTGACATGAGTCTGTGTGTAGGAGTGGGTCGTACCCGTGGGACGCATGGTGTGTCCGATTATTTTCTCAGCCTCTTTGCTGCTGTTCTCTGTGTAAACTGGTGCCTTCTTCGGTAAGTGTGACTCGAAGTATGGATGTTTTCTGTGCATGTCTGTGTCTGTGAGGGAGGTGTGTTTCTGGGAGCTGTTGTGCTCTGTTTGCTAGCTGAGCTGTGTTTTCAGTGCATGGCAGGGGGCAGTTCCTGGGGTTTCTGTGTCTGTGGGCGACTTGTTTCTGGGGAAGGCTTGTGAGTGGTGTGTGCCTCACTGGTATTCTGAGCACGTTGTGCCTGTGGGGTGTGTCTGAAACACGTTTGCTGTCATCCTCCTCATGTGTTTGTGTGTGTGTCCATTCAGAGACTGGTGTCCTCAGTTCTAGGAGCAGATGGTGTTTGCATTTTCGTGCCCCACATGTGGGCTGGTGACTTCGGTGTGAGCTCTTGTGTTGGTCACTTTTTGGCATCACGAGATCTTCGAGGTGTTTTGAGTTTTCAGCTGGGTAGCGGTGTGTTCTGCAGGTCTGCATTTTGTGCTGGCGTTTCCAGGGCAGGAGGGGCATGGTGTGTCCCCAGGGAAGCCACCGGCATTCCGAGCGACACGCCCAGTGGCCTCTGTGCTGAGTGGAGGCTGTGTCTGCGGTGTGTCCCCTTGCCGGCTGGTGCCACGCTGGCTCGGGGCTGGCTGTGGCGGGCGGGCAGGGCAGGGGCTGTGGTGGGCACTGGACCTGCGCCCGGACCTCAGTATAAATATCCCAGCTGCCGGCGGCTGTGTTTACTCGGCCCCAGCCCGGGGGCGGTGGCGGCGGCCGGGCAGGTCCTGGGGGTGGGGGTGACCAGGCCACAGCACAGACACTTCCTTCTGGCCAGACAGGCCACAGCCTCAATGCCCCTTCCCGCCCCTTTTCTGGATGGGATTGTGGTGGTGACCCCTCCTCCTGGGCTCCCAGGGGCCACCAGTGACCCTCTGACCTGGACGTCCTCACTGGGCTTCCCAGGGTCTGGGAAACAGAGAAGAGGGGCTAGCCGATGGGGTGAGGGGCAGGCCAGGGGCTGCAGGGAGGGAGATGGGGTGGAGACTCCGGGAGGAAGGCACAGGAATGGTCACCACTGCTCAGAGACCTGGTGTGTTGGGATGGGCAGGAGGCAAGCAAGAGGGGTGGCTGAGTTCCTGGGCAGGACTGCTTGGGGGAAGAGCGGAGGGCTGAGAAGGGAGGTGGGAAGTGATGGAAGATTCAGGCAGCTAGAGGCACAGAGGCACAAGAGGCAAAGCAGAGGAGGGAGAGAGGGAAAGGGACAGGAGATGCAGGGGGGTCAGATGGGGTGCGGGTAGCAGCCAGCAAGGCTGATCAGGAGGAGAGACGGGGTGGGGGCCGGATGCCCACGAAGGGGCTCTCCCCCAGTGGGCCCTCCCTCCCTGACTCAGCCTCTCCGTCAGCCCTGACCCGCCTTGGGCCAGACACCCCCCCACCCCACCCCAGGGCACCTCCAGGTCGTAGCCGCGGGGGCTGTGTCGGGGGTGTGTCTCCCGCAGTCCCTCTCGACTGGCCCCACCTCTGTCTCCGCGCAGAGGCTCCCGTCTCCGCCATCTGACTAACCCTAATTCTGACTCAGCTGCTGCTGTCTCTCATCACTTTATTATGTAACAAATCTACGTCCCGCAAAGTATATCACAAACAACATTGATGATCGAGTGGCAGCCCGACGAGAGTGGCGCACAGCATGCAGGGGGATCCCTGCCTTGGAAGAGCTCTCCGGGCCTGCGGGGGCGCACACAGACCCGGGGGCCAACACCGTTCATCCCCTGGCTCTCTGAGGGCACGGTCCTGGGCTTCCCCGGGAGCCAGGGAAGCAGTGTGGGCGGCACGAGCTGCACAGGAGCGATGGTTCTGGTCCAGGCGCCGACTTCCATGCCCCAGACACGGTTCCAAGCCCATGTGCAGGGAGAGGCTCCCCTGGAGCTTAGTTGCTGGTATCACACTTGACAGCTGCCTTTTGCTTGGTCTTCCTGAGGAAGTCCGTGCATCTGTCTGCTCTGGGTGGCCCTGACCTGATGGCTGACATGCAGCCCAGGAGGACGGTATGCAGGACCTGTGAGGTTCTAGACCTGGGTTTTATTTTCACCGGCTGTGCGGCTTGGAGCAACTCATGTCTCCCTTCTGGCCTCCCCTGACTCACCTACGGAGTGGAGGCGAGTCCCCAGTTCTCTGGGTTGTCTGGAGGATTCCGTGTGGCACCAGGCCCGGCAAAGGACAAGACTGCTCAGGAACAGGAAGCTCCCATATTGAACAGTCTCTCGGTGTGAAATGTCCCTCAGCCTCCAGGCCAGTTCTCACTTTCTGTGTCTGGCTCTAGTCCTGTCTGACCCAGAGGGCAGAGCTGAGGCCCAGGGGTCAAAAGCTGTGGCCCCAGGATCTCCCTCTTACTCTGGGCCATGTGCCTGAGGAAGTGGTTTTGAGGATCCTTCAGGCTTGGCTATGGTGGGGTGCCATCATTCTGTCTCCCAGGAGTGAGGGGTCCCCAGGCCCCACTCTCTGACCCCTGGCCCACAGCCCTCCCCAAGCAGTTGAGCCCTTCTCCGTATGCTTGTCTACTAGGGGAGCAGGAGCCGGGTGTGGGGGCATGGGAAGGCAGGACGCCTGGGTTCCCACAGGCCAGTGGCTGAGTCACCGGGAGGCCATCTGGCTCCCATTAGCCTGGGGCGGCAGGGGGCTCTGTGGGGCGGGCCCTGTGGCCAGCTGGGGGGCAGGGACGCTGGGGCAGGCTGTGTGTGGGATGACTCAGGACCCATGATAACAGCCTGTACGTATTTGGGGAGTGTAAACAAGAGATGGAGAAGGAGGCAGAAGAAGGGAAGGAAGGAACGTTGCGGCTGGGGAAAGAGAGGGGCCAGTGGGGCTGAGAGGGGAGAGCCCCCGTTCCCATGCCCCCTCCTGCCACACCCAAGCCAGCAGGCCCATGGCCCTGGTGCTGCCCCTGCGCCCCCCTCCCAAGTCTGGGTCCTGAGGGAGAGGTGACAGCTGGTAGCCAGCCCAGCGAGGCCGCCTTCCTCGGCATCGGCAGCGAGGCCGGTGGGGTGGGGGATGACAAAGAAACCAGAAAAAGAAAGGCTGAGGGGCAGACGGAGGGCCAGAGGCAGCATGGAGGCCGAGATGGGAGCGGACAGGTGGGAAAAACCAGAGGCCTAGAGGGGGGCTGAAGGAGATAGGAATGAACCGGGAGCAAGGAGGCATGAGCTGCATCAGCACAGAGGGGGAGAAATGGGCAGAGGCCAGGGTGAAGCCAGGGGCTCACCTGGACCCCATTGGGCATTGATGTCCACTTGGTGGGCACCAGCTACAAAGGGCCTGATGGCCTCAGTCAAGGGGAGGTGTTCAGCCTGGGCCCTGTCATGGGGACAAAGGCACAGGGACAGGGAAGGGGATGGAGAAAGGCAGAGAGGAAAGACGGTGAGGTGCAGAAAGAGGGAGAGGGATGCAGAAAGCAAGAGACAGAAATGCAGGGAGAAAAAGCGAGTGAGCCAGAGAGACAGCGAGAGACCAAGGTGGAGCTGGGCGGGGGGCAAGGTGGGGAACCCCGCACGCAGAGGGGGCAGGGAATCGGTGGGGATGGCACCAGAGCCAGCGAGGCTGTCCCCTAGACGGAGTCACGGGCGGGGTGGGCGGCCACAGCCATCAGTCCCCATCCAGCTCTGGGCTGGGCGCATCCTCTGGCTCCTCCTCGTCAAAGTACCTCTCCTCCTCATCCCGCGCCACGATGTCCAGGTTGTCGAAGTCGGGGTTGTCGTCCACGGTGCTGCAGGGGGAGGGGGCTGTCAGGGGCTGGCTCTGTGGGCCCGGCCTCGCTGCTTCTCACCCTTCAGAGGAGCGGGGCTCCCCAGGTCAAAGGCCACATGCTGGCAGCTGTCAGTGGGAGCTGCCCCCCGGTGGAGAGGGCCAGGCATGGAACCTCTCAGGGTTTCAAAGGGCAACATTTTCCAAAGCAGAGATTTTACATGAAAACTTATGGTTTCTCTCAAAAAGCTGGAAGATGTGGGGATGGGAGGACCCTCATTCCCCAAAGAGTGGTTCTCAAACAGGAAGATCCTGGCCCTCAGGGGACAAGTGGGGACAACTAGAGATGTTTTGGGTGTCTCAAGTGGGGTCTCCTACTGGCACTGAGTGGCTCGATACCAGGGATGCCTCTACTACCACGCATAGGCTGACGCTCCACATGAAGAACAATCGGGCCCGAAACGTCAGCAGTGCCGAGAAGTGTCTGCCTTGAGGTGACAAGTGATCCTAAACTGTCGGGAGGACACTTGCAACTGGTGTTCCCCCTACTGGGAACACTCTGAGCCCAGATACTCATGCTGTCTGCCCTGTCCCCCCACACTCTGCATGTCTTTGCTGAGACGTCACCTGCTCAAGAGCCTTTCCTGGCCACCTCGTCCCAACCCCCCTACCCCTAGACCCTGCCTTAATTTTATGGCCCGTAGCACCAGATGCTACATACTTCTTTTGCTCCCTCATTAGAGTGGGACTCCCATCAGGGCAAGGAACCCTTTCATTGGCTTTGGTCACTCTGTTGTCCCCAGAGTCTGGACACAGCAGGTGCCCGGCACATGGTGGTTGAATACAGAGGAGGGACCCACTGGCCCCGCTGCTCAGCAGCTGCCCTCCAGGGGGGATGGGCTTTGGTCCCTCTGCAACCCTAATCCTCACGCTAGGCCCAATTTCCTCATGGGCACCTGGCTTTCTGGGGGCTCCCCACGGCCCAGGGACTCTGCACCCTGCTTTGAAAGGTGCAAAGCCAGCTGGAAGGTGGATAGCCAGACTCGCCTCCGGAGCCGGGTGGTCCTAGCTCAGGTTGGCGGTGCCCCCTACTCAACTGGTGAGGGTTGGTTTGTTCGTGTGTCACTGGGGCTGGGTCTGAAGCCAGGCCCTCGGCTTGCACACCTTCCAGGCCAGACTGCCTCGGCCTTTTATCTCTGATTCTCATTCTTCATTCTTCTGTGTCCTTGCCTTCCCAGAGCAGCGGCTGTGTCTCGCCCCGAGGTCACGGTGGAGACAGCAAGCAGACTGCTGCACGGCCACCACAGACCCCTCCATGCTAGGCATCAACCCTGCCAGCGGTTACCTATTGCATGGAGGAGGTGTGGGGGCATGAGGAAGAAGCTGGCGTGCCTGGGGAAACCTGGAGGGCTTGCCGCGGTGGCATCCTACCAGGCCACCACCACTCACCCAAACAGAAATACGTCAGTTTTTTTTTTTGAGCACTGACCATCAGCTCTGCTCAGTCCCTTCTTCAGGTGAGGGGACTGATACTGAGAGATGGACAAAGCTAGTCCAAGGCACACACTCATCTTGGGTTCTTCTGAGACCCTTATGCCACCTGAGCTGGGCCGAAGGCTGTGGGGTGCTGGGCTGGGGGCGGGGCGGGGCCGGGGTCACCTGTAGTCAAAGTCCCCGTCCTTGCCGTCTAGGAAGCGCTGGTGCATCCGGCTGGTGAACTCTTCCCGCAGGATCAGCCTCTCTTCCGAGTCGGGTACCCAGGACTCCGAGTCTTTGCTGGGGCTCTGGTCTGTAGGGGTGGACACCACAGCGGGGTCGGAGGGGTGGGTAGGTGTGAGTGGTACACTCGGGGAGGGGCTGAACGCACGGCCACAGAGAGCTGCCTCCTCTGTGCTGGTGGCACTGCGAACACAGTGGTGACCAAGACAACCCTGGTCCTGCCCTCCGGGCCATATGCCAAACACGCAATGACAATACAGTGCTCTGGAAGTTGGAGAACAGGGTCAGGAGCTGATACCTGGAGGGTGGCGAAGGGAAGGCATTCTTGGCAGAGAGAATGGCATGAGCAGGGGCCTGCAGGAAGCGACTGCTGCATGCCTTTGAGGAGTGGGGGACAGAGATGCTGGAAGGACTGGGAAGAGCCTGGGCACTCAGGGCAGGCAGGGGAGGGATGTGAGGTCTGCTCTTACAGGTCAGAGGCCCAGGCTGGGAGCCCCCTGGTACCGGCCCTCACCTTCCTCATCATTGTCCTCCTCCTCTTCCTCCTCCTCCAGGCAGGCCTCCTCCTCCTCCTGCTGCTGGAGCAGCCGCTGCTGCAGCTCCCGCTCCTGGTAGGACTGGAGCAGGAGGTCAGAGAGCGGGCAGGCAGGGGTGCCGAGGGCGCCTGGCTTGGGCGGCTGGTGGGCCGGGGCGCGGGCACTGAGCTCCTCCTGGGTTAGGTACTGCCCAATGTACTGCTCATACAACAGTGGGGCCCGGAACCGCATCTGCTCGTCACTGAAGTACTCACCGCCTGCATGGAGACAGGGAGCACCCGGGCTCAGGGGTCTGGGTATGGGCTGAGCCTGTCTGGACAGATGCATGTCCACAACCGTGCTTGTAGGAAGCCATGCACACACAAGGGCAAGCGTGGCATGCACACTGAGACAGGTGGGAGAGCACGCAGAGACCTGAGGTCACGTGGCCACGAGTATGCACGCGTGCATCTGAGTGTGTGTGAGTCATCAGCCCCGGATCTGCACGTGTGCTCCTCTGTGTGTGCACACTCAGCCGTGGCCAACCTGGCCCCACCTATTGCCGTGCCTGGTTACACAGGTGTGCACACCCTCCTGTGTGTGTGTCTAGGAGTGTCTCCGAGTCAGCGTGCAGGAGGCCATAGGCAGGGGTCCTGTACACCAGAGCCAGGATGCAGATGACGTGTGGCTGTCTGTGTACACAGCTGCATGTGCCAGATCGGGGGGCCCCTGGTAGCCTTCCAGACCCCACATCTCCCCTCTCCCCAGAGTGCTCTCCCCTGCAGCCATCCCTTGGGTGGGCTCGGCTTTCCCACCACCCACTTCCCGTCTCCCCCAGCTGCCTGTTCCTGCAGGTTGCTCTGTCCCTCAGAAAATCATTAAGCCTGCCCAGTCCCTCCCACACACTGGCCCCAGCCCTGCCTTCAGAGCCCAGGGTGAGAATCTGCCCAGAATCTCGGCCTCTGCAGCACTGGGGTCTGTGGCCATCCCTGTCCTGCCCCCTCTCTTACCCATCTCTCTGTTTCTGGTATTTCCCACCATATTCTGTTTCTCTCCCTTTGTTTCCCTGGTTCTGTTTCTATCGCTCTGCCTCCACCCACCTGTTCCTCCTGGGTTCCATATCTGTCACCTCACCCCCCATTCATTCATCCCTCCTCCCTCCCACCTCCTTCACTCCCTGTCGCTGCACCGCACCCTCTCCATCTCCCTGGTTCTAGGGCCTTTCTTCACGGTAACCAGAATCTTCACTCCCTCTCTGCCTCATTTGCTTTCATCCTTCCACTTTAGTTCTGGTGTCTTTGGTGACAAAGATGCTTATAATGATACTGTGGTCAAGAAGGTATTGTGCCTTTCACAGGCGTGCCTTGTTTCAGAGGGCCTTTGTGTCCCCAGGGTCAGAGAGAAACTCCCCTGAGTTTCCTCAGTGCCTCTGAGTATGGTGTGAGAAAGGGAATCTCATTTTCCTGATGGGTAACCACTGACCACAGGGCTGGGTTCTGTGTCTGCGGCCCACTGACCTGAAATCGCACTTGCGTCATCTACTGAATTCTGACCCTTCTCACTGCTGGTCCCATTCTCTTCCCTGGGTTCCTTTCTGTCTCTACCTATCTTGCCTCATGGCTTCACATTTCTGTTTCAACCTCCGTGTGTCCCTCTCTCAAAACTCATCTCAAGACCTCTGTCCATGTCTCCACTCTTGCATCCTAGTTCCTTACTTCCTCTGCCTCAGTCTCCCTGCCCGCCCAGCCCTCCTGTCCCCACACCTTGGATGAGCTCACGCAGGGCAGCGTAGCGCCGGTTACGCAGGCGGGTACGCAGGGTGCGGGGTCGGGTACTGCCCTGCCGGGCCACCTCAGCACAGTAGAAGTCTGCACGATGGTCGCCGCGCAAGTGGCCAAAGCAGGCCAGGTGCTCCTCGCGGAGGCCCGTGCGGAAGCGCTCCAGGAACACCAGCGGCTTCTCATGGTATAGCTGGCTCAGGATGACCACCTTCTCCCGCTCGGTGAGGTCAGGCTCGCCCTGCTGCTGGCTGCACACTGGTAGGCGGCTGGCGGCCACAGCACGCAGCATGGCACTCACCGCCGCGTTCTCAGGCCCAGGGGGGTCATCATCCGGGGCCCTTGGTGGTCCCTCTGCGGCTTCCACCTTGTCCTGGGGTTTGGGTGGGACCAGCGTCCAGCTCGGCTCTCCCCAATGCCCAGAACCAGGCTGTGTGCAGTCTGTGGGGGGAGGAGAGATGTGTCAGTCCTGGAATGGGAGTGCGAGGAGGTGGAGTGGGTGGAAAAGACTTGTCTTATATTTACTGAGCACCTACTACGTTCTGGGCACTGTTCTAGGTCTCAAAGATACCAGACTAAGCACAAAGTTGACATTTTAGTGGGGGACACAGACCATGAAAAGCATAATTATTGAAAACACACAATGTGTTAGCAAATGTACAGTCTGTTGGGTGGTTCCAAGAGTTTTGTAGAAAAATGAAGAGGGAGGGAGGCGAGAATGGGGTCAGTGGGGGGCAGGCTGCAATTTAATTAAATTTATTTATTTGAGATAAAGCAGTGAGGGGCAGATGGGGAGGGAGACAGGGAGAAAGAATCTGAAGGAGACTCAGTGCAGAGCACAAGCCAGATACGGGGTTTGATCCCATGATCACAAAATCATGACATAAGCTGAAATCAAGAGTCAGATGCTTAACTGACAGCCACTCAGATGCCCCAGGCTGCAATTTTAAATGGGACAGTCAGAGAAGACCTTGCCAAAAAAGTGACATTTCGGTAGAGACCTGAGGTAGTGAGGGACTGAGCTGTGACATTTTGGGGGGAAGAGAGTTCTGTGGAAAAGGGAATAGCCAGTGCAAAGACCCTGAGGCAGGAGCATGCTTGGTATATTTACCTCATTTACCATTTACCTCATTCACTGACTCACACAATTCTTTGCCTTTTCATTTGTTCACAAAATCACTAACACATCCACTAAACTGTTCATTCCCTCTCTTTCTATCCTACTCATTCACACACTCACCCAACCATTCTTCAGCAACTCTAAATGTGTGCGAGGCCCCGGCTGGGCTGTGCTGAGGATCCACGGGAGCAAGTGAGCCAGCCCAACGCCTGCCCTCAGAGAATAGTCAGGGTGATGGGGGAGCCAGGACAGTCAAAGACAACACGGGAGGTAATAACAGGCAAGCTGCGTGCCAGGCAAACCTTGTTGAGAGCTGTCTCTCAAAAGGTGTGGTAAGTGGAGCGAGGCTGAGCAGGCAGGAAATAAAAGAAGACAGAAAGTACAGGCAAGTCCTTTGGGCAGCTTGGCTGGGACAGGGAAGAAGGAGGGGGTGAGGGTTGTAATCACTGAGACCAGAGAAGACGGAGTTGGACCAGTGCAGGGGCTGTGCAGGAAGGCACAGGAAGGGGTGGTGGTTAGAAAGATGTTCAGGAGGCTGAGGAGACAAGCCATGGGGCTTTGGGCTGGGAGACAAGGGATGCATCCAGTTCAGGTCTGGGGACTAGTGAGATTGTCCTTGAGACAGTCATGGAAAAGGAGAAGATCTGGGGCTGGGGGGAAATGCTGAGGCCAGTTTGGGACATGGAAGGTAGGTTGGGCCCAAGGGATATCCACAGGGAACATCTAAAAGACTCCAGGTCTGTGGGGCTGGAGACTTCTCAGGAGGAAAGCGTAGGGCTGGGGACAAAGCTACAGAGTCAGCATTGCCAAGACAGGAACCAAAGCCGAAGGAAATGAGAGGTGTCTTGGTGGGGGGGCAAGGCGAGTGTGTGAGGGTTGAGGAGTGGGCTAGGAAAGAGCCCCAACTGGCTGGGGAGAAGCCATGCCTATGACAGAGGCCACGATACAAAATCGGCCGCTGAAAGACAGCCACGCTTTAATTCCTGGAGCCTGTGTGGTTGCAAAAAATGGGTCTCTGCAGATGTGAAGTTAGGGATCTTGGGACAGGGGGATTATCTTGGATTGTCCAGGTGGGTCACAATGAGGGTCCATAACAGAGAGTCCAACGGAGATTGGACATACACAGAAGAGAAGGCCACGGGAGTGATGTGGCCACAAGCAAAGAACGTCAGGAGCCACCAGAAGCTGGAAGAGCCTCTGAGGGAGCCTCCACGGTCCTGCTACCACCCTGATTTCAGCCTTGTGGTACCAATTTCAGACCTCTGGACTTCAAAACTGTGAGAGAATAAATTTCTCTTGTTTTAAGCCCCCCAGCTTGTTGTCATCTGCTGCAGCAGCCATAGAAAACTGACAGAGACTGAGCGGGAGGAGCCTGAGAGAGAGGAAGGGAAAGGGAAGAGTGGTGTCACAGAAACCAAGGGCGTGCGCCTGGGTGGCTCAGTATGTTAAGTGTCCCGCTCTTGGTTTCAGCTCAGGTCATGATCTCATGGCACTTGGAATGGAGCCTGGAGTCGGGTTATGGGCTCCTTTATCAATGGGGAGTCTGCTTGAAGATTCTCTCCCTCTGTTCCTCCCCCCACTCTCTCCTTTCTCTCTAAAATAAATAAATCTTAAAAAAAAAAAAAAAAGAAAAAAGAAGGTAAGGGACAACTTTCAAGAAGGTTGGAGGGGTCAATGGCATTGAATTCTCCAAGGAGCCTAGTAAGAGAAAAGCTGAATGGGGTGACTCCATTTAACTACAGGGGGGAGAGGCCACTGGCAACCTTGATCAGAGAAGTTTCTGGAGGTAAAAGCAGGACTGCAAATGGGTGGGAGGTGAAGAAAGGGAGGCAGGTGTGCATGACAATTTGGAGAAGATACCTGACATGGAACCAAGAGATAGATTTTCTTTTTATTTTATTTTATCTTATTTTAACAAAGATTTTATTTATTCATTTGACAGAGATCACAAGCAGGCACAGAGGTAGGAAAAGAGAGAGGAAGGAAAGCAATTCCCACAGCAATGCCAATAAATTCTAGCCTCACAATTCTTTTTTTTTTTTAAGATTTTATTTATTTATTTGACACAGAGAGATCACAAATAGGCAGAGAGGCAGGCAGAGAGAGAGGAGGAAGCAGGCCCCCTGCTGAGCAGAGAGGGCCCGATGTGGGGCTGGATCCCAGGACCCTGAGATCATGACCTGAGCCGAAGGCAGAGGCTTAACCCACTGAGCCACCCAGGCGCCCTAGATTTTCTTTTTAGATTAAAACAGTTTTTTAAATGGAAAATTTCCAACATGCACAGATTTAGAGAATAGGATGAAATGCCCACCCCACCCCATATACCACCATCCAGCTTCAACAATGACCAATTCTTGGCCAGGGACGTTTCAGCCAGCCTCCCAACCACACCTCGCCCCTCCTGGGACGACTCTGAAGCAGCGGGATGAAATTTCAAGAGAAGCTAAAAATGATAGCGTTTTAGATACTGATGGGAAGGCATCGGGGGGAAATAAATAGACTGAAAATGCAAAGGAGAGAGATGGAGGGAGCACAGAAACAGATTAAGGACTCGAGGAGGCCGATGGCACTGTGGCCTTTTGGGGAAAGGGGAATGAGAATGAAATGCGGGAGCTGTAAATCTGGACTAGGCAGAGTTTGCGTGGGACAGGAGGAAGGTCAGCCTTGGGCAAGGGAAGTGTCAGTGCCATGCAGGGCGGTAACTGAGAAGCAGGGTTGACCGAGACTCAGACGGGACAGGGCGCTGGTTTCTGGTGACCTGAGAGTTAGCCTGGCATTGGGGAAAGGCTGGCCTAGAACTTGGAGGGGCTTAATTTAGGGCGAGGAGACGGGGTAAAGGACTGCAGCTCGCAACAAGAGGCATTAATCTGGACAAAGTGGCAAAGTGGGCTGGTAAACCCGAGGGCTGCTGTGTCCCCCTGTAAAGAGTCCTCCTGCGCGCCCACGGGGAATCATTTCCCAAAGACACCGCAGCCCCACCCTCCCACCGCCTCTGCGCGGCCAGGACCTCACCTTCATCAGGTTCCCTGGCCGCCGCTGCGGTCGCCACGGCCTCCATCCTGATTCCTAATTAGTTAGCCCCCGCGGTAGGCTCCGCACGCTAATCCCGGCCCCAGGCCCTGAGCGGCCACTTCCGGCTGGGCACACTCTGTGGGACCCCGTGCTCCGCCAAACCCGAAACAACAGTTCCGGGGTGAAGGCGGACCTTCCTATGCGCATGCGTGTCCCCCTCAGGTCCCGCCCCCTCGCCGCCGCCGCCGCGAACGGAAAGGGCGTCGGGGTCAGAGGCTCTTCCACGTCCCCCACCCCGCGCCCACCTGTCCTGCCAAGAAATTCAACTCTCAGGATCTGAACCATTGTTCAATACCTCTGGGATGGATAGTTGAATGGTTGATGGGCACCGGCCAGAGCCTTTTGAGGGTTTGTGCTCTGGTTTAAACTCCAATCCATTCCCTTTTCCTTCACCACCTCAAAGAATATCTACTAAGCTTTGTTTCTTGCTTCTGTGATCAAAACCAGTCCCCGGCTAGCATGAGATGGGTGGTGAGATAAGATAGAATTTCCCACTGTGTTCCAGGACCCTAAGAATTTGCAGATGTGGAGGGGGACAACCCTGGTACCAATCCGCTCTAGGTGATGGGTAGTGACTCACTCAGGTGTTATCAACAAAGCGGACAGACATATCACAAGTGACCACCCTGAGTGGCCTCGACTCTGACGGGGTTGTCTGTCCACCCCAGCCTAGAAGGTCAGGAAGATTTCCTTTTAGGAGGAGAGGACACCCAAGCTGAGACCTAAAAGATGAGCAGGAATTAAAGAGGAAGGTTTCAGGCAGCAGGGCAAGGCAAAGACCCAGAGGGGAAGGCAGGCATGGATATTTCTGGCTACTGCAAGGACTTTGGTGTGGTCAGGGAATAAAAATGTTCTAACTTGGAAGGCCACTGTTGGGCTGCAAAGGATTTGAGAACCTCTTGAATATTAGTGCAAAATTCCATGTGCATGTGCACTTTCTGAAGCAGAGTTGATGGCATTTGGATTGAGATTTGTGACTCCCCCAGAACAAACCACCGATCTGAAGTTCAAAGAGGGAGCAGCAGCAGATGAAGCCAGAGAGGTCACCAGGGGTCAGGCACACAGGGCCTCATAAGCCACACTAAGTAGCTTGAGTTTCTTTATCCTTCGGGTAGCAGGCGGAAAGCATGAAGGTAAGGGGCCAGAAGTAATGGAGATCTGTGAGTATCTGGTGCAATGATCCAGACACTGTGGACCAGAGCAGAGAAATAACTTCCCATTTGCATTGCTGGAGTAAGGGACCTAGAGGCCTATTTGCCACAGCCCATTGGTGGTAACTACATTCAAGAGATTACTCAGAGAGGCCAGCAGAGGGTGCTGTTGCCCAACACGTGCACCAGCAAGGGGACTTTCCACAGAGGTGGAGGCCCTTCCCCTGTGCTCTGAGTGCAGAGGCAGGCACTCTAGGGTCCCATTTAGCCTAACTAGCCACCAATTTTGGCTCCATCTCACATTCAGATGCCTCATTCCTGATCTCAAAACTAGCCAGCCTTCCTCCTCCTCTTGCAGCCTGTGTTCCATTCATGAGGCTCTGAGGTACTTCCTGTAAGGGATGGGGCTCAACTGGCACTCCTGTGCCCCAGCTTGATCCTTTACAAGGGATCAGGAACACCACATATAGGGGAGAGGACACTAGGCTATATGGAGATGCAGACACAAAGTCTTTTAACTTGGCTACTTAAAAAATTGTTCCCTTCTCCAGGAAGACCTCCCTTTACCACAGTCCCTACCCTCAGGCTTTCACAGCTGACCATGTGGTGTCACCATCCGAGGACAAGTCCGTGTTACCTCTGGACTGGGAGACCCATGAGAGCAGAGCTCCGGCCTGCCCTGACCATGCTGGATCCCCAGCACTGTCCAGAGAGAGTGAGGCACAGAACAAGTACGTACCACATAGTGGCTGGATAAAGCAGTTCCTGGAATCCCCACTAGCCTGGATCCAGGAGTGCAGGAAGGACCTGTCCTAAGGCCAGCACCCAAAGCCAGGACCGAGGTGGATGGTCCCCATGATGACCCCCAACAGTACAGCCCTGGTCTCCATCCCATCAGGCCTATCTCACCCTCTGCCCAGGGACCCGCCATGCCTTCTAGTCGCAAATTCCTGGAGATTTGGGGCTGTAAGTGGACCAGAAAGAGCAGGGACCAGAGAACTACTTTAAAATGAACTAGTGGATTTTATACTGAGAGCCCCAGGTTTAAGGGGGGCATCCCCAGCACCAAAAACAGGGCCAGGCAAGACAAAACCCTCAGTAAGTGTTTAATGGATGAGTAAATAACATCCCCTTTGAAAAGGTCCCACCCCAATTAAAGGCCAACTGCAGTAACACTTCAGGGTTTCAAACCCTGCTTCCTTCCTGCTAGGAGGTGCCATGTCATTTATTGAAAGAAAACAAAACAAAGCAAACACATTTCTTAATAAGTGCAGTTTGTTAAAATCCTGTTAAAACATATGGGTCAGCGGGGAGTAAAAATAATCAGAGGATCATTGTAGGAAAAACCTTTAGGTCTGGCACCTGGAAGACCTCTGGAGAGGAGGCGGTGGGAGAAATTTCATGTTCTGAAGGGAAGGAGCCCCGCCCCAACCTCCCCTTCTTCCCTCTCGCCCGGTTAATCCCACCAGAAACTACCAAGACGCCTGGAATAAAAGGTTTCAAGTTCAATAGTCACACTCTCTCCAAATACAAAAAGCAGTTACAATTCAACTCAACACAGAAGCTTGTGTGCAAGGTTATGGGAAACTGAGACATCGTATAAAAAGTTGGGTTAAAGATGATTCTGTGGTTCTGTTTTGTGTGTGTTTTGTTTTGAGGCTGTGGCTCTTCCTCTGTCACCTGAACTCAGCAAAGAAATGGTTATCCTGATGAAATATCAACAGCCACAGTAAAAAGAGAAATTCTAAAAATTAAAAAAAAAAAAAAAAAAAAGAAGCATAATTACCAAAAAATATCTGTCACTGCTTCCTCCCTCCGCATTTTACTTTTTAAACTTGTGGGGTTTTGTGTTGTTTTGTTTTTTTTTTTTAAGTTTTTGATTTTTTTTTTTTTTAAATCCTGAAAAGTAGACAGTAAAACAGCTCCTGGAAGAATGTACAACCAACTGCAAGAGGGTCTGGGAAGCTGAGGGGTTGGAGCAGGGCTGGGAGAGGTGGGCAAAAGGGGCCCTCCCTCAGCCACTGTAGCCTCACTGTATGACCAAGGGGCAGGGGGGAGGTCTTTAGTCAAAAAGGAGGCAGGAAGGAGAAAGAAGACGAAGAGGAAGAGAAAGAAGGTAAGGGGACAAACAGAAAATAAAAGATCATTGTTGCCTGTTTGAATCCAGAAAAAATGCCCGGCCCTGTGTTGGGGAAGAAGCCCCTCAGAGGGGAGGCAGTGGGCTGAAAGGAGGCAGCCCTGGGATGACCCGTCCCCCAGCACCACAGGACCCAGTGTGGGTAGATGAGGAGGCCGAGGTGGGCGCTGGTGGAGGAAGCCGGCAGGGGCCTCCAGAGCACACTGGCTACTGTGTGCTTGTGCCTCCCTGTGTGTTCCCGGAGTAGCTCCCGTAGTCGTAGTTCCCGTAGTATGGTGGCCACTGGCCCTGGTTCTGATAGTACTGGTTCCACTGCTGGGCATACTGGAGAGAGAAACCAAGAGCACCATGTTGTCCTTTCCCATGACCCACATTTGGCTCCTGTCTCAAACCTACTCTCACCCAGGGGAGAGATGAATGCACTGACAATAGCCAACACATGGGTCCCCTGGAGAGATCAAGGTCCCCTGGGAGGGTAAGTGACTGACCTGATGTCCCATAGGTGGGGAGTCAGGGACTGAAGCCCAGACCTCCTGGCTTGCCAACCTAATGTCCTTTCAGGTATAGGCAGATACCATATTTAAAACACTGAACAACAGGTGGGAGGGCCTAGCACCAGCCAAGGGGCATGGACACTGGCCATGGTGCTGAAGCAGGATTCAGAGGCCCCTGCTATGCCATTTGCTGGCTTCAGTGAGGAGAAAAGGCTGATACCAACCGCTGAGCAGCCAGTGCAGAACGTTCACTAAATGGAATGGCTACATCAGGTGGATGCCAGCCTGAGACCAGCCCATCTCTATAGTATGAATAAAGAGGGACCCCAGTCTCAGAATACACATCCATGCGGGTCCCCTGGAAGTCTCTTTATGTGCACCCTCCCTCTGCTGCCCCACCCCAAGTCTGGCACCTACCTGCTGATACTGGTTATAGCTGGGCTGAGGGTAGGTCTGTGCAGTGGGGGGCGGCGGTGGGGTGTAGGGAGCTGGGTTGTAGCCGCCATAGCTCCCATAGTTGTAGGCAGGCGGTGGTGGCGGTGGCGGTGGTGGGGCTGTGTAGCCCTGGCTGTAACCTCCTTGGTTGTAGGGTGGCTGGCTGTAACTCGGCTGGAAAGTTGGGGGAAAAACCAGGGTTCAGCTGGGATGGAGGAACGGCCTTCATAAGCTGTGCACCACAAAGGAGCTTCCCTGGGGGAGGTTGTTTGAGGGCTGAGGAAATGGGTCAGCTCTGTGACATGGTGGGACAGGGAAGGAGGCAGGGTTGTGTTTGTTCTGGACTCTACTCCCAGCTCTAAGATTCTGGGGGAGCAGGGCACACAGCCTCTCTTCAAATTCTACTGCTATTTTCCCTCCCATAAGATGAGAATGACAACAGAACTAGCCCTTCTGATTGCCCTGCATCTTTGGGAAGCTTGAGCACGCAAGCCGCCAGGCACTCCCTAAATGGTGGTTGTTTTGGGAAGGTCTGCTGAGAACAGTAGTAGCAATTTCCCAAGTGCTTCCACATGCAGACTGGATCATTAATCCCTCTAATGCCCCCATCAACCCTGTGAGGCAGGTTCCACTAGCCTCACTTTATAGAGCAGGAATCTGAAGCTCAGAGAGGTGAAATTAGTGGACCCAAGTCACACAGTAAAAAGTGGTGGAGCTAGGACTTGACCTCTGGTCTGTCTAGTTCCAGAGTCTTACCCACAAAGCTAAAATACCACCCATCCCTCAAGCAAACCTTGCAAATGAGTTATACCAACAACTCCATAGTCTTTTATAAAGAAAACGAGGTGCAGAGAGGTGCCACTGTTTGTGCAAGGTTATAGAACCCAGACATTGTGGGGTTGGGGTTTGAATCTGTGTCTACCCATCCTGTTCTAGGAAACATTCTGGTTAGACCA